GCTTGTAGCTGTGATAACACATTATCAAAATGCAATTCTTTAAACATGCCAAGCAATCAAACATTCACATTTTAAATTTTCCCTTTATACAAAAATATGAGATTGTGTCATTTCCACTCTTAGTGGCATCGTACAGACTAATGTTTCAAGTTTAATAAACCTACAAATCTCCTCTTTTAAGCAAACAGATAGAGGGAAGGTTTTCATATTTCAGTTACCATTCTCAGCTGCCCTCTGTTAGTCATCAGAAGACATAATATGTAATTTGGGAATAATCAGTCATTTGAAATAAATGGACAAGAGCTCTCTATTGAAAAGACTAAAGATAAGTCTTTTTAAAACTTGATGATGACTTGAGTGATTCTAGTTTAAACTAATGATTACCCAGAACCACTTAAGTATGTGATAATTAGAAAATTATTTGCATATTCTACATTAAATAACTGCCATTTATACACAGTGTACAGGGATGGGTACAGTTTTAAAGTAACATTGAACTAGATGTATTTTTAATAAATATAAGTAAAACCTTTTAAATAATGTAATCCTTACTATTTCTATACCTTGTGTAAATGTATAAATAGGAGAGGATGATAGCATGAAAGATGTTATCAAATCCAATTCAAACAATTTAAAATAATAATAGTGATCAGACTTAAAATGGGAAGTCTTATGCTACTAGCCAGGCCCTAAAAGCTACTTGCCACTGCAAGCCTGCATAGACTGGACTCTCACTTTTACTCTCCAGGGCTATGTTTTCACTGACCAATGGCTAGTCAACAGTACAACTTTCAGTATAATATCAACCAGGAATTTTGCATTATGAATAGTAATTCAAGCTATCTTCATTCCATAGTAAAATGGAACGATTTTCATCCAATTGACAGCTCTAAAAAGAGAAAGTCCCTGTTGAAGTTGTGAGGTTACCCTTCACCCTGACATAATGTTAGAAAAAACATTCCAAGTGATTTATCTGCAGAAGTCAACATTAAAGCCTATGGGAATTTTTGTAGAGCAATCATTTGAAAAGTTTTTCTAACAGTATTTGGAAAGCCTATTAAATCAATGTCATATTGTAATGTAAAAATCCTATAATGGAATCTTCCACATAAAATAACCATTCATCTCTACATTTGATAACATTTTGACTATCAAAATTTAACTTTTTTAATGTTCCACTACTTGCCATGTTAGCATGACGGGTGTACTTTCATTTAAATTCCATGGAATGTATTCTGTGACATATTTCTTGCACTGCAAAAAATATTATGCTGTCAGATAATCAAATCATATCTTGAGTTTTACATTTTATCCTGTGCTTAAACTTGTGTTAGTCTATTGCTTTCCATAGCCTTACACCGAAAGAAGATTTGTATTAAAAGTTCTAGTCCGTCAATTGAAAACAGTTTATTGTCATAAATCAATATTATAGTGCATGTGCATCAAGCTCCAATTGGCGTATCTCACGAGACTCACAGGTTCAATAACCAGCATGTGCCTTTTATCCTTTCCAGGCTGACAAATGATCTAAAGAGGTCATGATTTTAAATTCTAAAAAGTAAAACTGGCTGCTAAAAATATATAAACTGGAACAGGAAGGACCTTTTGATGAACACAAATTTTTAGGATTGAACGTCAAACTCTACATTCTTTGGCTTTAACTAAAGATCGTGATACAGTTAGGCAGAGGTGGAGAGTGAACTTAAATAACTCAAATTAAGATGAATTGGCATGAAATGTAACAACATCTGACTTGTTTAACATAGTGGAATTCTGGAATTCTGGAATACAGATCAAAGAAAAGATCTAGCAATTTTTTTTAGACGAGTAAATAATTTTTCAGAATGTTAAATGAAACATCAAGATTTTTCTATAATCAGACCTTCTACTTTTTTTAGTATTCAGAAATTTTAAATACCCACTAAGGACAACTCATATTTTATTGTTCATCCTAACTGATGAAATATTACTCCATTTCAGCTCATTTATAAAAAAATGTGTTCAGTGTTCCTTGCATCATATTAGGGTGTATTGGACTTTACTGAACTTGATATCCTGCTTTAAGATATATTGTGTGATAGATAAAAACTCCTCGGAATAAGAGGCCACAAAAAGTAGGAATTAAGAAGACTACAAATTAAATATGGGAGGGAAGGGAAAGAGCGATGAATTGGGAACACATATACATGAAATATACATGGGGTAAATTAAAATGCAGCTGAACATTAAGTTACAGATCCCCAGGGAAAAAATAATCACTCACCTTAAACTCAATCATAGTGTATAATGCAATGCAAGGCTCTAACTGATAATAGTCAGAAGACTATGAGTTAGTAGGTCCTAGGGCAGATCCTGGAACAAATATGGGAATTCAGTTCCACCATATTGTTTTAAGCCCGCCACTACTTCAAAGTACCCCAATATCGGTGGGTCCTACACTAATTTTAACGTGGGAGACAAAATAAATAGTACTAGTGCTAAATAAGCTAATGTGTATATAAATAATCTTTTGCAAGAGCATTGGGAATATATAGCACTATTGAATTTGTCTCCCACATTGGAATTAGTGTAGGACCCACCGATATTGCAGTACTGTAAAGCAGTGGTGGACTTAACGTAATATGGCCATATGGTGGGACTGAATCCCCATATTTGCTTGCTGAGATAAGTGATTTTAAGTAGCCTTGTCAAATGTAAAACTGTATTTTTATGTATGTACTGTTTCTTATGTATAAATATTGGGCTCTATGACAGCCCCATTGATGAAAAATGCATGTTCGGGGTGTGCCTAAAATTCCCTTTTTCTCTTTACTGTATAAATTAATGGGACTGAAAGAGGATCTGAGCCAATTGCCATGTACATGTAATTGTGTCTGTGTTTTTAATTACTATTGGTAGGTCTGTTTATTATAGTACCAAAACATATTATATTGAAATATAACAAATAAAAATAAATTATATAGGTAAGTGAATTACCAGCCAGTATTCTGTGAGTGGTTGTCATACAAGTTTTCAAGAACTGGTGTTTACTCTAAGCAAACCAAAGCAAAGCAAAACAAAACACTTACTCCATTTTGTAACTCACAGTACTTAATCACAGAACACTTAATTGATATATGCAAATCAATTTCTAAACACTTGGCAGAAAATTAATTCATGAATAGAATTTCTCCCTAAGCTTATAGCAAGTGCACCTAGCTGCTGTCAGCTTACTGACAGCTCCAGTCACAGTTAAGTTAGCTGTGAAGGAGCCTTCAACGTGAGGTCGGATTTGTGTAGCCCAGTATGTGGATGCTGTAACAATATTTGGATTGAAAGATAGTTTGCATATCACTGCAGTTATAAGCAACTAAATGTAGAGAGACAGAGGCAGGGAAACGTCTTAAAAAACTTCTATGGTATGCAATGAGCAAAAGTTTGCTAGGGGCCTTGGAGTACCCACCCCTTTAACATGATGTATACAATTATATGCATTATAAAATTCCCTTTCATTATGTCATTAACAAAATGATAAAAATACATATTTGTTGTATTTTCTTTCCTAATTGTTTAAGCGACTTTGATGTTTTATGTATACTAACCCTTGATATAATGACAGCACTGCAAAACTGTAAAGAATTTATTTGAAAATGGAACTTGTATAATACAGCTGGCATATTTACATTTAATGACAAGTAGACATATCACATGTGTAGTATTAGAAGGTCATACAACTGTCTTTTAGTTAGCCATGTCAGATCAATAACAGCACATCATAGCCTTGAATATTAATTAACATCTGCTTTTTTTCCCTACACTCACTATCGCTAGATGAGCTACATTCTCCTTGTGCATCTGGGTCAAATCCTTCCCAATATTCGTGATCACTGCATCAACACTGCAAGAGCAGAGCGATTGTAATGACAGAAAGACTACAGAAGAATGCTAATTTCGTTCTCCAATATGACTGATTGGACAACTTCAGCAAAAATTGATTGTTCTGTCACCAGTTTGAGTCTACTAATGGCTTGTTGTTCTTCTAAAGAGACTCAGCCCTACTTGATAGACTTGGCCTCAGGTATTCCATTCAAATCTCAAAAGGAAGCGAGCAATAAGTAAGGTAATAAAAAAGGCCAACACCTATTGAACTGAAATTAATTAAATGACCAACAGACCTTTAAATAGCTAATTATCATGTGCCTTTGTGGAATTATCACATAAAATGTTCTAAACAATGTAAAAATGAAACTTGGAATTTGACAAAAGTAAATAATTAATTGATTAACCATGTCTGGTCATTTCCTAAACAATTTTTAAAAGAATATTATTTTTGTCATCATTACTAATTGGAAGATGAGCCAACATTAATATTTAAAACCATCAATATGTCTATAATATAAAGCATAGAATTGTAAGGGATTAGAAAAAAAATTTTGAGCTAAAATGCCAAATTTGGAAAATCTCCCTCCCCACCCTCTTTGTTATTTTACTTTTTTTCCATACTATTAGGAATAAACTCCTAAATTTCTAATTACATAGATGCATTTATATATAACCAAAGTAGATATTTTTGCATTTGGTATATGGTCTCAGAAATGTAGCTATTATATCTTTACTGATTCCAATTAACCTTTATAGACCTGTACTAAAATAGTACTAGTTTAATAATGATTATGTACCACAAGTAAAGCTATTCTAGGATAAAAAAAAAACTATTATATGCTAAATTAGGACAACATGCAGCCCCACAAAAAAATTCAAAAAAAAAAAAAAAACACATTTACAAACCATACTGGGCTTCAGTCAGGAATATGTGTCTTGATCCTAAAAGGTTCCTGATAGCCCCATCAGAAAAAAAAAAAAACGCCTGTCTTCTTATATAGATTTTCAGACCAGGATAAGCCTTGTGACTGAATAGAGTAGAATGGAGAAGGTTCCTTTTCTATAAGGGAATTTACTGCCTCATCAGGTTGGTCGTACATTTGGTAAGTACGCTTACAGCTTCCAAGTCTTGAAAAGACAATCATACATCACATCCCGCAAGAAAAATGCCTTTAATGATACAGAATAACAAGTGTCAATTTCCTAGAAGAACATGGTCATATGCAAAATTCCAGTAAACATGTCCAATAAAAGATCATATTGTTAAAGCAGATAAACTGCGATGCATGTGGCAAATGAACAACACAAATAAAAAGTCAACTAGATGGATAAATGATGAAAGCAAAGAATACAATGGTACAGTAATACATCTACATTAAAGATGGGAGGGGAGACAAAGGCATATAGAGAAAAGGCCGTTTGTCCTGACCAACTATTGGTTTCTATTATAGTAGATGATTAGGAGTTATAATAGCAAAGGAAAAAGTCCCAGTTAAGACCCAAAATTGGCTGTCACAGAGGAGGCCCAGATTGCAGACCCTATACACTTTAGATCAGTTCCTCCATGGAACTAAGTTGCTCCATACAAGTGAAGCCCATCTCCAGGCGAGACAAGGTGGCCAATCACCAGAATACCAGGATAAGGCTTTTGGCAGCATACAAAGTTCAGATTGTCATGACCTTTTTATATGCTAAAACTGGTGAGCTTGTTTTTTGGAGTAGGAAGAAAGTGGGGGAGGGTTTTAGAACACCTCTTTAGAATACAAAGAATTTTCCTCCAAAAGGGGCTTATCCTCGAAACTCCCACCAAATGTGCCCATGTCTTCATTCAACCCATTGGCTATATACTGAAAATAAACATAATTCTGACTTTATGCAAGTTGTCTGGAGTGCCTGTGGGGACAATGTAACATGATAGCTTTTCATACAGCCACTTTTCTGTGATACAGTATGTGCTGATGTCAGACGAGGAGCAAATTGTTAAAACAATTTTGCAGCATTACAAAACCAACCTTAAAGATTAACTTTGAAATTTGTTTTTTTTTTAGTTACTACTTTTTTTTAGGAATCCAAGTAGATTTTATTTTATAATTATCATTGTACATCTGGCTGTCTTGGCACAGCCTAGTGAGGACACGTATGAGTACAACCCTTCAGAACAGGTGTTCCAAAACCAGTCCTCAAGTACCCCCTACCAGTGCAGGATTTAAAAATTACCCTGTTGTGTCTAAAGTGTTTTTTTTCTTTCTAAAAACACCTGAGACACAACTGGGTAATCCCTAAATCCTGGACTGTTGAGGACTGGGTTCGGAAACACTGCTTCAGAAAAATTCCAGAGAGTGCAACAAAGCTGGAAATGAAGGTAGGTGTGTTTTACATTAATTTAACCACATTGCCTGTCCCAGCAAATACATCTCAAAAATTTACCTGGGGAAAGGGATGAGGATATGCCACTGGCTGGTTAAAGCATTGCTAATGGCAATGCCTTGGACCTGGGAAACCTGGGTTCGATCACTATACCAGTAAGTGTCTCTTGGTTTGACACCTAACAATGTATATCCACCTACCTCAAAGCCTCATAGATTCATATGCATGATTGGGCTGAGTCTTCCGCAACTCTTAATATTCCCTTTCTGTAATTGCAAAACACTTCAGAATTTGTTAGCGCTATATAACAGTTAATTATAATCTGCCACTTTAAGAGTTATGATAGTTCCGCTTTAAAGTTTACCATTCTTTGTAAAATTTAATTTTGTGTGATTAAAGCTTGAAAATGGAACACACGTGTGTACTTTATTGCAAGTTTTCACCGACAAGGAACGAACCTATTAAATGTCACATGAACTTGGACATTATATCGTATTTCATTAAATGCTAATAATGAGTTGGATTTGTTCTTAATATTCAATTTATTTCAACATAATTCAGATGGAACAAATTATAGCTCCTGATTTAACATCAATAATAAAAAAAGACATATTCATTATATTTCTAAATTTTAGCATCAAATATTAAATTTCATTATGGAACTGGAAAGATTAAAGCATTTATGATAGACTACATAAGGTCTTTTATTCCTCCGATAACTTTTTTGCTATATTTTATATTTTAAAATAATCTATTTATGTTTACATAATACAAATTATGAAGTATTCTAATTTTATCTTCTATAATATATACATAATACATAATCATAATATGTACATAATACATATACATAATAGTTTATATATATATATATTATTTAAAACATACATATTTGTGAAACATTATTATTATATTATTTGTTGCATATGCTCTGAATATAATTGGAGCAATTAATTTCTTAGCCTGTACTTTTATGTAATATCTACCATTGTAATTATATATGTGTTTCCTAATGAAGAAAAGTGGTCACTGTCCATTAACGTGCAAATATTAAAGAGTCATGCAAAATGTTAATGTGACAGGGATACTAAGCCATAACCACCTTGTTCAAATCACTTCCATAAAAAAACAACAAAAAAAAGAAAAATTATAGTGTAAAATTATTCACAGAATATTTATCCAAAAATGATAGTCAACATCAAAGAACTGACTGACTCTGACATCTCAACAGTTGAGCATATTTGAAATAAGTTAGATTAATAGCTGTAAGCGAAGTCAGCATAGAACTAAACCTGGGTAGTAGACTTGTGCAAGTTGAGAAATTGTAGTTCGGCCGAAACCTTTTTTCCAAAGATTTTTTTTTGGCCACCCAAATTGCATCTATAATGGTTTTTTTTTATATTTGCATAGTTATATATTATATATTTGTTAAATAATATATAAATGTAGATTTTTTTTAACTGCTCTTGTTATTCGCTCTATCGCCCACTTCTCAAATGATCTGTGAATAAAATCAACATTTAGTGACTGTCCCCTAGCCATCTTCTTTTTTTTCCCATGAAACATCTCTTTTTTTTGGTGCCATGGCTAGAATTAAAAATATTGGCACTCTCCCCTCTCCACCACCCTCTGCAAACATGTTTTCATTGCATAGTTTGGTTATTCTGTAATTCGGTACATTTTGTCTTGGACTTTGAGAATTCTCTTCAACACCAGATTAACCCAAATTTGGCTAACTTGCCGTTTCTATCCAAAATGAATGCAAAAGGATCCAAAATAGATCCAAAATTCATGTTTGTAAAGGATCCAAAATGGGGAGCCTTAACAGAAAATATGGAACCTCTTATAGAAGAAAGGGTAGGGTAGCCATAAAAGTACCCACAGAATGTTCATGTTGCAGGTGTCCACATGTTTTTGAACATAAAGTGCCTCATCTGAGTACCTTTACTTCTGTGCTCTGTCACTAAGTAGAGAAGGACCCCTAAGTGTTAAATTAATTTTCAGACTGTCAGAAGTGGCTAGAATCACATATAATTATATCATGACCTCTTAGTTTTTCAATTACACAATTAATTACACAGCTCACAAAATATGTGCATATCTTTTCTTTTTCACTTTAAGAAATTTTCACAACAGATGAAAAAAATTAAATGTATTAATCAAGATATAAGATTTCAGATTATAACATTAAGTGTAATTACAGAATGTAATTGAATGCTACATTTTCACTGATTAAACAAGTAACTGTACATATTAATTTTATATTCAATTTAAAAATGTAAAATTTAGATAGGAGAACCCATCCAGCTCTACTCACAGGCAATAGTGTGCACTTCCCGAATCCAATGCTGCATAAGATTTGATACTTTTTTAATTAGTTCTATGACTTCCATTCATATCATTTTTATATCTTCCATGTTGTGTCTTCCATAAGTAGATAATGAGTATTTAACCAGTTTCATTAGGGCCCTGTGTCAACTGATCTCTGCAAAACTCTTATAAAATATGAACGTGAGATGTTCTGGTTTTGCATCACTCCCTGTCACAGATGCCACTATATCTCCCAACATTTCCAAAAGAGAAAGGGAGACTTCTTAATTTTATGGGTGTGACCATGGGAGGGGCTATTGTGAGACATTTTAGGTGACTGACTAAATATTGATGCAACTAAAATATAATTTAGAACAAGGTCAAAGAATCTTGTTTATGCAAACTGATTTTTAAAGACTTTTTTGTAGTTTAATAATACATTGCCACGAGTATTACTGCTGTAGAGCTCTGTTACACACTCAACAATATGGAGCTGTTAGAAAAGATAGATATTAGGACAGAAATGAGGGGCAAAGGAACAGTAGGACCTTCCAGAGATGGGTATATCAATGGTTGCAGCTGATGTATGCATTATATCATATTTTGATGTGTATTTGCATCTGCATGCATGTGCATGTCTATGTGTTTGTATGTCATAGTTAGAATTGTGTGTGTTAGTGCATTTGCATATTACATTCCACGGCAGCTGAAATAGCAGTGATGAATCCCTGGTATATTCTAGCAGTTGTGGAGCAAAATTCAATAAATGTTTTTATTATTATTATTATTATTATTATTATGCAATATGATATGTTTCTTGCTTTATTCCATTGTTTCAGTTTCAGTATGGAATTTTTTTTAGGACAGTTAAAAAAAAATAAAAAAAATGTGTATGTGTATATAAGTAGAGATTGTAGTCGTATTAGTCCAGTGATTCAGATGTAAAAAAAACAGATACAATTCATATCTTGCAATATCTTTTTTATTAGACTAACAGAAATGTTTTAATGACAAGCTTTCAGGAGAACCTCCCTTTCCCAAGTCTAAAGCATTTCTGAGCAAGATGACACATAGAATTCAAAGTTGAGTTGTGATACACGGGTTAAAGCGACATGAGTCCACAGGTTTAAACAGTATCTTATCAAAACTCATGTCGGTTCTTTTTTCTCAGTTGATATGTTAACCAAGTGGTGGGGAAATGCTTTGATCAGTGTACTGCTAAATCGATACACAATTTTATAATATTATAAATATATATATTTTGCAGCACACTGATTGGTCCATTTTCCACCTTTCTGGTTTGTCCTTCAGTTTCACCAAACCAAAATCCAACCAAAATTCAGGTGTACCCCCAAAAAATTATATCATAGGGAAAATGATTCAGCAGAACTGAACTTTCAGAAATGAACCACGAGTCTATTTCCTACCATATAGCCATACATTGTATCTCATTGCTACACAACAGTACCCTATTTTTTTTGCCAATCTTTATTTCATTGCAAAGGAGTACAAACAGGTTTGCAAAGCCACAACAGCAATGGGAAGCTTTCATTAATATACTTGGTAACATATTGTTATGGCATGCAATGCACTGGCACAATATTATTAAAATAAAATAATAAAAACAAAACATAATAAGAACACACAGTTCTCAGTCGAGTGGCAAGGCAGAAGT